CCCCCCCCCCCACTTTCCTCTCACTGCTAATCACCCGGTGACATTAAGCCTCCTATTTGCAAGGTTAATTATTCGGGAATTAAAATCATAACACAATTGTTAGCTCTGACGTTCACCCTTTCCCATTGGAATTGACGATTAGGGGAGTTGTTGTTTGAAACGAATTGTGTCAGAAAAGTACACAGAGAAAAATTTTTGATGAAAATTATCCTACCGTTCTATAAAAGTGTAGTCATGAGTCATCGTTTCCTCGATTTCGATCCCGAAATTTAGTGAAAATTAATGAATGATGATCTAATTTTATTCCACGTTAAAGAAATTTTACCCTGACGCATAATAAATTTTACCCTTGAATCTAATAATTTTTACTCTACCGGCACGGTAATTTTTTTTTTCATCACACTGTTGAATTTTTCTTGAAATTTCAGTCACAGTGTCATCTGAATTTTGAATGTTGTGAGTTTGAATTCAATTTTTCTCCGTTGGCCCAGGAAAATTTACTGAACTTGGGGATAATTTGTTCCGAAACTGTAAAATTAACTCTGCATTTGCCACGATTTTTTAGATAATTTTTATTCAACTGTTATCTCCGTGTACTAAATAGTTAATCACTTAATCCATCGGATTGTCCCCCGAGTATTCAACTCATGATATAATTGAGTCTCTGCAAAGGACTTTGAATGCTAAAGGAATTTTTACAAAGAGTTGAATTTTTTTTCACGAAGACAATCGCAGCGTCTCCCGTTATTCTTTCCTCATCTATTCCTATAAATCCATCTGAAATATACTGATCGAATCAGGGGAGGCGTCCAACAGCGAAGCTGGAGGAATGAAACTGAAATTCAATTCAAAAACTTAATTCCTTACTTCGGAGGAGTGGAGAGGTCTCAGTCACAATCAGAGAGAATTATTCGAGTCTCTCTCGACAATTTAGGAAAAAAGGAGAGAAAAAGAAGGCAAATTCACTGCATAAATAAAGTGAATTCTGATAATAGAATTTCTCGGCTCTTAGAATGCATTTTATTCAAATGAATAGAGTATTCGTGAAATATTATTTCTCTGTCTCCGAGAGTTGCCTGATACGTAATAAAATTTTTCCGCGCACAGAGGGGGACTCAATGACTGGAGGAAAAAGTGCCTCAGCGTTTTCTGATGGAGGAAGTCAAAATCAATGTGATCAATCAATCTTCTCACAGAACACACGGATGGCCGGGTTCGTGTCATAGAATATTCAGCACAACGATACAAATCAGGGGTGGGATTATTTCGTATATGTAGATACGCGGAGAGTAAAGTTGGATAAACATTACGTAGAAAATAGTGACAAATTTTAGGGTGACGAAAGGTAATCGTGGGGTGAAATGTAATGGAATGGATAAATAGCTGTTTGTGGAGAATATTTTACGATTCGTTCGGTAAAAAAATATATCTGTGGATGCCAAAATTATTCTCCTTGAATTATGAAAAAAAAAATTCTATGTAATATATTCTATAAATATATATTTATGTATTATTATTTATATATTATATTATATTATATATATTTGTATAATATACAATATATAAATCTATAAATATGAATATAAAAATATACATCTGACTCTCATTAAAGACATGGAAGGTTTCTACTCTGTTAAAAAATTTTGTCTGAAATCCCATTTTTTTTAGCGGAAGCAAGACGAAAATTTCGCAATTTGCATAAATTTTCAAGTGAAAATGAATATTAACTTCCAAATTCCCTTGAATTTTCAGGGACTTCCTCCAAAATTCTTGGAATTCCAGAAATTTTTGAAGGAATGTCCTGAAAATTCAGAGGAATCTGGAATTTAAGGTGAGATTTCTCTGAATTTCCTTGACTTTCCATCAATTTTCCCGGAATAATTGAACTGAAATTCACAGTTCTCACGGATTTTTTAATGAAAGTGAATTTTCAATGGCAAAATCCCTTGGAATTTCAGTGAATATTTCCAAACTGAAATTTCAGTAAAAAATTTTTAAGAGTGTATCATCCGCTCTAGTGAGTCCCTTCCGAAATTCGGCCAGAATCACTTGAAATTCAGCTTCACCTCCGCAAAAAGGAATAAATCCAATGGACTCTTGAACCACATCCACGTCAGGTCCATATTCCATTCATTCTCCACATAACAACGCTCCTCTCCCCTGTATTGGTCACCCTGAATGTAAGTTATTTCCACATCTGCAGTTGTCCCTCGACCTTGAACTCCTCCGCTTGACGACTCCGGGCCACATTGACGCCCGGCCCTCGATTCTGGCTCAGTCCATTCTGGTTCAAGTGACCCGCGAAGAGATTCCCCAGACGATAGCCCCTCATGCGTGCTCCATAGATCGTCCCGTTCACCCCAATGTTCTTCCTATTTTGCCTGTAGTAATATCAAACTAAGCTTGATACTGCAGCATCCCGGCAGTCATTCTACTCGACGGAGGGGCACTTTAGAGTCCAATCAAGTCGACTGGATTATATGCTCTATCAGTGGTGTCTTTCCATTCCCATACAATGTTACTTCACCTCATCTCAACAGCTTTATGACCGCTCGGCGCAATGGATGTATCTAATGGGAATGGGTTTCTCTGGATCCATAAACAACAGATAAATCTGGTTCACTGAATTTAGGGCTCTCGGGGCTCCAATTGGTATTAAAATTGTTGATTCAATCAGTAAATTATGAATGTGATATAACTGGATATTTCGTCTGAAGTAATGACACTTAAGAAATAAACCATTAAAAACACTTGACGAAAGATGTTAATTTTTGTTCTTCACAAATTATTAATTTTGAATTCGATTATTTTCTCAGAGGGGATAGCCATATATAAAAATTTCTCTCTCTCCCTTAGTTTTGGAGATATTCTTCGAAAACAGCCAAAATCATTTTTTGTTTTGCAATTTTTGACGGATTAATTCCATCAAGAATACAATAACTTGTTTTTTTATATAGGATGGAAAAGAGCTAGAAATAGATTCCGCAATGCTATTACTTAAATTATTCGGTAATTGTTCTCCAATTTTTTTCACATATTTTGGCTTCTAAAAATTGAATACCGGCATCCACGGATATTTTTTTAGAAAATTATTCTTGAACTGGTTGCATTGATTCATTAATTTGATGTTTTCGTTCTGTGCCCCAGATGGTGACGACCCAACCCGAAGCAACGACAGCCGACACAGTAACACCCGAGGATACGGGTACGACATTCAGCAAACTTCGCCAATTAATGACAGTGACTGGAAATGGTGAGTACACAACATCTCGATATAAAATCGATATCGCAGGAAAGGATTTTCCAACGAATATGACACTGTTGACTTTTTCCAGCCATCGCAAATAGATAATAAGATATTTCGTTGTGCCGTGATAGAAGCGTTGCAAAATGCAAGGACTATTGACAATTTTATAATTCTTCGATATTGATAGAATGAAGATAAACCGCGGAATTTTTGTGGACTGCGACATGATTTTGTAGAAAATTGTTAAAAGAGAGATTTGAGAGTTTATTTACAATTCCATCGTTGATGAACTCTCTAGATGCTTCGACAATATTTCAGAATATTATAGAATTTTCTAGCATTTATCGTCTAAGTGTTGATTTCAATTTACAACAACAAGTGGGAGATTGCTGTCGTCATGATGGAGTTGATATGGTGTTACTAATAGATTAGCAATTTGCTCCTGAATGACATTTTATGATGTTTTTTAAATTGAATTTATCGAATCATTGAATTCAACATTGTCTCAACATTGTTAGCCAACATTGCCCTAACATTGATTCCACTTCCTAAGATATCCTATCACCCTAAGATAAATTAAATTCTTTTTTTTGGCTATTTCGTTTTTCGCGATTATCTCGGAAACTATGAGAGATAGAGCCTTAAAACCTATTGCATTCGATTCCTGAGGAAATTTGGGTTCCGTATAGGCAGATGGACGGCTCAGAATTGCGTTTGTCCACTTCCTACACCCTATACAATAAGAATTAAATTAATTTTTTTTGGGACTTTGGGTTTTCGCGATTATCTCGGAAACTATGAGAGATAGAGCCTTA